ATGGGTGTCTGCAAGCCATGAGGTATGTAATTCAACTGTTGTCATAATGAATAATTTGTTACAAAATTTGAGGTAGGATTGCTGTCATCATGACACAGCTCTCTGGCTGGTTCACATATTATGACCTTTAGACTGTACGAACACAGCTGTTTTTGTCACCCAGCCATCAGTCCATATCAGTCCAACGCTGTTGACTGCAAGGATATCAAAGTATTTCAACCCTGGTATGTCAAGAAAGCACATAGCTGCGATCTGACTCGCCAGTCCATGCCAAGTGTGAATGGCAGTGCTGCCCTCGGGTACTGATGCTGCATTGGGTGGGGAAAAACAACATAATTGCACAATTTTTACCACTAACTGTGTAGCATTCAGGAGTCATTTCTGTAGCTTAGCCCATTGTTGCAAGTTGCTCATAAATGCTTTAGTGTTGGTGTAGGTAATATGTTTCTGGGGCTGGGCGAAGTACATGACATGATGCTGGGTGGCCCATCTGATCAGAATGTGGTAAGTTTGTGAGTGTCTGTAACGGTCCCCTTTCAAGTTTCCCTTTAGATTTATGGTTAGTTTACCGTCCCTGCGACCCCGGCCCTACGGCCAGCCCGGAAACTGCGTGTGGACGCGGTGGCGTGAGAAGCGGGGGTGCCGGCGATTCGCACGCCGATTGTGTTGCGGGTGGGCTCGAAAGGACGATAAGAGGTGCTGCTCGGGGCGCGTAGAGGGAGTCTCTCTGTCGGCGCTGTGTGCGGCGGTTCGCCGGTGTGTGTAGAGAGGTCCAGCCGCGATGTGACTTCGAATACAAGCTATTTCGGCCAGAATGCTCGAGACGCTGGCAGCGGCTGCAGGCGGTGTGATGAATCACGGCTGGTGGCGTGACGACACCAGCGTCAGCCAGCGGGAGCAGGGCCGTCACGCGGGATGGAGGCGGCCCGTTTGACACCCGGCTCATCCCGGCGTACGATGGATCGCCGCGCTGGACCTAGCGAGCGTTCTCGCACGGGCACGGGCCGTGCTCAGCGATGGACGCGTCGCTGTGGCAGCGGCCGCGGTGCGTGCAGGGGCGCATCCGCGAGCCGATGACGCGCTTGGCGAGGCATTCACTGCGACGCTGCTGGACGTGCGGTGAGTCGGGCCACGTCGCCGTCGCCTGCTCGCGGCGTCGGACGGGAAGCGAGTCGGGGGACGCCGCGTCAGCGCGAACGACTTCTCCCCGCCATTGGGGGGCGCGCTGCCCATCACCTGGCTGGAGGTGAACGGGCGGATGGTCGGGGCGCTGGTGGACGCGGGTTGCACGGATGCTGCGGGACGGGCAGCACGGTGGTTGACACCAGCGACCGTCGAGTGATGCTCGAGGTCCTGGTAGTGCCGGACAGACCGCCAACGGGAGCTCGGATGCTGCGGGACCGGCAGCAGAGTGGCTGATACCAAGGACCGTCGAGTGACGCTCGAGGCCTTGGTAGTGCCGGACCAACCGCCAACGGGAACTCGGATGATGCAGGACCGGCAGCATGGTGGTTGATACCAGCGACCGTCGAGTGATGCTCGAGGCCTTGGTAGTGCCGGACCAACCGCCAACGGGAAGTCGGATGCTGCGGGACCGGCAGCATGGTGATTGGTACCAAGGACCATCGAGTGACGCTCGGGGTCTTGGAAGTGGACGGACGCCAGCGACCGTCGAGTGATACTCGAGGTCCTGGTAGTGCCCGACCGACCGCTGGGTGCTGACGTCGTTCTCGGCATGAGTGGCATCACCGCCCTGGGAGGTATCAGCGTGCGGACGCCGACAGACGTGCGGCTCTGTGCGGCGGCAGCTGTGACCCAGGAGGCATGGAGGTGGATGCAGCCGATGTTGCGGCGGGGTTTAGCGGCGGGCAGCAGGCGTAGACGTTCGCCTGGAAGTGGAAGGACGCCAGCGCCAGTGCTGCGTGCGGTGGGGTGGTGGAGCAGCCTCCCGCGGCCGGTGGAGCAGCGACCGGCCACAGCCAGCTGCTGCGTGGCTGAAAAGGCGTGCGAACGCAGTGACCGACGGCTAGGATGACGTCACGGTTGACAAGATCCTGCACGCCCAGATCGGACATGTGTGCGAGCGCCTGTCAGCTGTAGACCCGGCGCGCGGCCAGTGTCGTCGAGACGCCGGACGGCGGCGTGGGGTGAAAGTGTGATCTCTGAAGTTCAGGGGTGGGTGTAGCGGTCCCCTTTCAAGTTTCCCTTTAGATTTATGGTTTGTTTAGTTTACCGTCCCTGCGACCCCGGCCCTACGGCCAGCCCGGAAACTGCGTGTGGACGCGGTGGCGTGGGAAGCGGGGGTGCCGGCGATTCGCACGCCGATTGTGTTGCGGGTGGGCTCGAAAGGACGATAAGAGGTGCTGCTCGGGGCGCGTAGAGGCAGTCTCTGTCGGCGTTGTGTGCGGCGGTTCGCCGGTGTGTGTAGAGAGGTCCAGCCGCGATGTGATTTCGAGTGCAGCGTCCGTGGCCAATGGAAGAAAATGCTGATTTCCCACTAGCCCTTGCATGTCAGCAAATATTCAGGTGGCACAGGCTCCAGGTGTATCTTAAATGTCATTATAAATAATGTTAGTCAGAATAGCAAGCCATAATCTACATTGCAGAATGGGAAGCAGTAGCCTTGCTTGCACTTTTTGGAGTTCTTGTCATGTATGGATGGCCTAACACATATTACTTTAACATCATCTCTGACATTGCCATGAAGCAGCTTATAGATTTATTCACCAGTTCACTTCCTTGTCATTCTTGATTGCATACCTGTGATCAAAGAGACTGTTTCCAACAGAAATGTGTGCTGGAATATCTGTAAATCAGTTTTTCCTGTTTTGTTCAGATTTCTGTGATCGTGCTCCTCGCAGTGCACGACGTTCACATGTCTTGGGTCCACTAGTAAAATTTTCATGTAAAAGTAACTATGGGGCAGACATGATACTATATGGGCAGTGCTGGCAGGCTAACTATATGGGCAGTGCTGACCACGCAACTTTTGTGTTTTGAATGTTACGGCTTGTGCTGTGGCTATACAACCAATGAGTACCGCACAGATCATTTTCCCAACGGAGTCCATCTTCCCCCTCGCCCTCAAACCCGTCTCGCGCCCACCATGGCTCTTGGCATTCGCCATCCATACGCATAGTACCGACATTTTTTTTTTCATCTTGCCGCAAAAGCGCAGTTTTCGCCCATAATCCGTTCCTTGATTCGAACTAAGCGGGATCGAACTATCGACTGTTAATTCGACGTAAAGCCGGTCTCTCCCATGTAAACACACCTGCGAGAGGTTTAAGGTCGCATGATCCGTTCCGATCTTACTTCGAATTACTCTGGGCTACCCATGTAAACAGGGTAAGTGAAGCGGTGAACGCGTCCACAGTGCGTCTGGGAAACCAGAAGTACGGGGTTTGATCCCCCCCCTCTCCCCCCCCCCCCCCCGGCGCCCGCGGCTTTCCTGCCAGGGTGGGGGCAGGCGACGCTGTGGCATATAACCTCAGCAGCTGAGAGCGTCCTAAAGCTTCAATGACGGTGACCACCACCACCATGAGGAGCGTCTAGAGCAATAGAGCTGGAGCGTCAGTTGAATATTCGTCCCTTGACGTGGGTCACTAAAATGTTAGATGGTGAAGGGGAGGAAGGGGGAGTCGCCTTGCGTCACGTCACAGCGGGGCAGAGTCGGCCGTGACATGCCGGTGCCCTAGCGAAGAAGCACATGAAACATCGGGACGGCCCATGGTTACCAACTGGCAAATCTTGGTCAGATGGACGAAAGATGGAAACCACGTGACTTCTGAAATAGCAGATAGCTTAAAAATAAAGTGTGAGGTGGGGCACAAAACGGTTGATTGGGATTAAAATTGTATGTAAAACACTTCTATTTGAAGCAGTCGCCCTTCTGTGATGTCGAGCCGGCGGGAGGGACGCCACACAGCGTCGGCTGGTTCGAGTGTCGCGTGACTGGCGCTGGCTGTGGATGGCCCGCCAGCGGTCACTGGAACCCACACCAGGCGCCGCGCTGTTCTGGTGCTGATGTGCGCGCTACGTTCGCCTGCTCTGCCGCAAGGCATGCCGTTCTGTCCGTCCATCGTTTCGCCTGGCGCTCCCCGTTCACCGACGTGGCCGTCAGTTCTTCCCCGTGTGACGGGCCATCTCCGTTTCAGGCCGAGAGGTCGGCAGCGGCCTGCTCGGCGCACGGTGGGTGTCTCCCGGCGCCGGCGCACGGGCCGCGGCCGGACGCCCGCCACACGGCGACGCCGCAGAGCCCGGCCGGCAGCATGGCGAGCCGGCGGCACTACAGCGGGCCCGGCGCTCGGCTCGCCGGCACCGCTGGTGCGCCGCCCAGCTCGCCGGCGGTGCGGTACTTGGCGGCGCCGAACGCGCCGATGGGCGGCAGCAGCTCGGCCATGCCGCAGCCCGACCAGCTGGGTGGACACGTCTCAGTGGGTCAGCGGGGCATGCCGGTCCAGCTCATGGGCTACCAAGGGCAGCCGGCGCGTGTAGCCGCGCCTGCCGTACACTACCAAGTGCAGCAGGATGTGCAGTTGACTTTTGGTGCGGCTCAGGTGCCGACCGGCCCGGTCTTGCTCACTGGCCATTCCTGGACGCCTAAGCTGACGCAGGGCACGCCCGTGCTAGTGCTGAACGATGTTCAGCAGGCGCAGTGGAACCAGCAGCTGCTGCGCATGAACTCAAGCACTTTGCATTCGCGCCAAAATATGCAACTTTCAATGCATCCGCAGCCTCGAGCACAAATGCGACCGCAAGCGCAACAAACACAACGAATGCAGCTTCAGATGCAATCGCCACCACAACCGTCGCCCTTACAACGGCCGTCACTACAAGCGCAAGTTCGCCCGCAACAGGAGCCGCAGCTACAGCAGCCTCAGCAGGGGCAGCGCGGCGGCCGGGGTGGGGCGGCGGCCAGCGCTCGCGGCAGGGGCAGTAGTGGCAGGGGGAGGGCGGCGGCGCGCGGTCAGAAGCGGCCGGCCGCCGCGCTCGCCCAGCCGCCCGCCAAGCGGCTGACGCTCAACGAGGACGACGACGAGCCGTGCGGGCCCGTCTGCGCCACGTGCTTGCGCGAGTTTAGCAGCCGGGCGGAGCTGCGCGAGCACGAGCGCGCCTGCCGGCTGCAGCTGGAGCGGCGCCAGCTGGTGTCGCTGCCGACGGCGCCGCTGCCGCAGCTGCCGCTGCCGCCGCGGCTCGAAGCCGTGCGGCCCAGTCCACTGCCAGGTCAGTCCGCCGGCCGTCGACCGCCGGCGTGCGCCACGTGCGGCGCCCAGTTCCTCCAGGATGTCGAGCTGCGCGCGCATGCGCCGCGCTGTCGGCCGGTGCCGCCGCCGCCACCGTCGCCGGCGCCACCACCGCCGCCGCCGCTGTCGTCACCGTCAGGAGCCGGCGCGCCTCCTGTCAGGGTTAGTGCGCGCGTCGCATCGGCTGGCCACGCTCTGGCTGTTGCGGTTGGGAGCGCTCTGGGTTAGACGTGCTGTCCACACACGGACTCTGCACTCAACAGGCTGGTGCTTTGGCCATTGCTGCCTGATTCCGTGGGTGCATGCATACATGCTGTTTCACTTGGCGCCGGTGTGGTAATCGCATTGCATGTTGCTAGGTTGTCTGTGCACAAGGAGATCCGTTTTTTTTCCACGGAGATGCTAGTTTCCTTCCGGAAAAGGTTGGTGTCGGGATATTTCCCTCAAATAGCTTCCTCCTTTGGGGGGCGAGTGACATCGTTAAAAGCTGCCACAGCATACGCTGCATTGGGGGGAGCTGCTTAACATGTCACTAGGAGTTGCATCTGTCGTGTCACAAAGTATACAGAAGACAAATATTTTGATCAAGTAGAGCGCAATCAGCTGGTCCGGGCTCTAAACAGCGCTGTTTCGCCTCGAATATAGCGATGGCGACGTGTGGGGAAACTCGCAAAAGTTCAGGTGGCAAAGCTGGGGCGACCATCCTGCAGTAATCCGGTAAAATTATGGTAATTTCACCTAAAGTTGGTGGCGTCGGTGCCGCATGTGCCGGATTTTTCACCCACGACGACGATCATAAGTTTGGCCAGTCGGTTTGGACGACCCTATCGCCCCGCCCATTGACATTAGGTGCGCGCCGGCGCGCCTTTGGGGGTGATCACATCACGACCGACGGGGCTGATAACGGCAGGGGATGATCACGTCACGACCGACGGGGCTGATGACGGCAGGGGATGATCACGTCACGACCGAGGGGGCTGGTGGCGGCCTGGCGGGTGAACGGTTTGCAAAGATTTCGCGAAGTGTGAGGGGCTTTGTGTGACTAACTCGATCCGATCCAGTCCGATCCAATACGATCATCACATTAAATCAGGTCCGTTCCGATCCTGTCCGATCTTACCTGACGCCTGGCCCTACTTAACGCTTTGGCAGGCTGACTTGTTTGCAACTATCTGTATGGATGATGTTTGCTCAGTAAGGTAAGTATGTTTTCAAAAAATCGTCGTAATTTGCACGCCTCATTTGTCATGGGTGCACACAAACATCCATTGCAAACATTGCATAAACAATGCGCCACTGCTGATCAGCTCAACTTGAACTACTGTTTTCAAAAGAAGTGAAATCAACGGCATGCCTGAGTCAAGCAAGAGCCTATGGTTGAAACAGCCTTTTGCAAATAACCTCGGTAATGCTCGAACGTCATTGCTAATAAGTGTGCAGTCTAGCGGGCACCAGGCTGCTGGAACTCTGATGATTGGCTGTGTAAACTTACCGCTTCCGTCGTTCCTGCGCACGTCGAGTATGTCAGTGGTAGTTGAACTCCACCCTCTGCCATGCGGCTTACTCGCTGTGCGTCCCGAGGCGTCTCGCTTCTTCGTTGGACTGGCCTGTTTTCTGGAGCATATAAAGTAAGGATATTGTCATACGATTCATGGCTGTCGCAGTCTGGCCAGACTACTGAAGGAATACTTTGGCCACTTTTGGGTAAGACTAAAAGAATGCTGTTGAATGTTTCGAAGCACGTGTTTTCGAGCGAAATGGCAAAACGTGGAAACGTGGTACAATGGTGCAACACGTGCGAAGCCCTTTAACTTCTGTGATAGCAAGTCAGCTGCTTACATCGGTCAATCTTGTGTCCGTGCAAGTTGAATTCACACCTCAGATGCGGAGAAACGTTAAGCTCTCCACCTGGAGGTCATATATCACGCACCCCTCCGACGCGACTCCAGTCACTCGAAATCTACAGTTCGGAACCAGCGGCTCTCCCTGAACACATTGTAAACCACATTGCTGATGTAAATACGGCACTGCTGGTGTTCAGCGCAGTCTTATGGAAGAATCTCTTAAAAATGGCAGTTTCAAATACAGCGCTTGAGATGTTGAGATCCCCGGGAAAAATCGAAGAGACCCGACTGCGCAGTCCATATTACACATTTCTAGCTACGTACACACAGCTGAGTTGCGACCTGAGAGGTGCCGCTCTCCGGTGAAGCATTTTTCATTTTTGGAGAGGGCTGTGGAGAAATGTTCTGACATTATGTTGCGTGAAAGTTTAATCTGATCATGTATTTATAGGATATCATGGCTGGAATCTGGAATCTGTCAGAATGCCAGATGTGGATCTTTGGGTAAGGGCGCACAGTCCCATTCTGAGAGTTGAGTTCTGAACGATGAAATGTTTTGGCTCGTAGGCAGGACGTCGGGCCCTGCAAGCGGTCCACGGCGCCCACCTGGCCTGCGGGCGGGACTCGGTCTGCCATATCCTCACCTGAATGACGTCATGACGGTGCCAGTGTCACATAACACAGCTGGCGTGGCGGCTCGGCCGTGCGCGGTGTCTGCTTGTCAGCTGCCGTGAGCGCGCCTGGGCCCCGTCCAGTCAGCGGTTTACATGACTGCTGCCGGACCGGATGTGCCATGTTTCTTGTGCTGCCGGACCGGATGTGTCATGTTTCTTGTAGATAAAAACGGGCGATCACCGAATGACGCTGGAGGGGGATGGGCGTCCGTTGCATGCTGACCACCGTCGCCTCTCAGTGGGCAGGATTGATCGGCACATGCCGGACAAGTCCCTGCCACTGGCGATGTTCTAGTACACCACAAAGGCCAACTGCTGTCTCGAAGTATGGCAGGACGCGTAGTGCGATTGCTGCGCGGGAAGGTCTGCTCGCAACTGACAGTGAAGAAAGGATCTTTGAAGGGAATGAAATGAGCACCCGCGTGCAGATTGGGAAATGTTCATGCGGACGATGTGTGTGACACACCCAACATGCGACTGCGATAGTATGCCTTCCCACCTAATGTACGCGTATTACTTTAGTATTGCCCTATTCGCGACAAGCGAAAAGGCGAGAAATGTGGGCGACCATGTGGCCCGCACTGTACCCGTGTTTGTGACCTACAAGGACTTTGTAGCGTTGTAGCGTTTTTTTACAACATTTTCCCAAATCTCTAGGGTCTTGTGCCTTCCTCTGTGCCTTACAAGAACAATGGAGATGATTAAAGGGCAATCTTGCTTCGTTTGGCGGAAAGACGCCTTTGCAATACCCTGCAATGTTTTGGAACATTTTCGAAACCTTCTGGTCGACTGTGTCTTGCGAAAACACCCGTTTTGGTTTCAAAAGAATTGCCCTGCTTTGTTTGTCATAAACTGCTATTGCAACACCCGGCGGTCTGTGCAACAATTTTCCAAATTATTCTTTGGAAGCTCTTGCGCCTTACGAAAAAACTAAAGGTGGTTTTAGGGTTTTATCCTGCTTGATTTGGCCGTTATTCGCCTTTACAGCGTTCCGCAGCCTCTGCAGCAATTGTCTAACTCCGTCTCTGAGATGAAGCATTTTCCATTGTGCAATCTTTGCAACGGTTATCTACATCCGTCCTTGAAATGGAGTGCATCACCGATAAGATAGACGGGCAACCAACGACCTGCACCAGGTGCAGCTGTTGCGCATCATTGACCGCAATAGGGCCTCGTTTGTATCACTATTTGACGGCTGTGGAATAGCTGACTACCATTATCGCTGTTCGTGCGTTGCCATGAAAATGACGGCCAAAGGTCACCACACCCACCATTGTGTTACAAATATGCGCCCTATTATTCGGGAAAATGTGTCGTCACTTTTTATTTGGACAATTCAGTACTTGACAAAGTTGCGGCATATCACAATTTTGTGTCTCGATCCAGTCGTATTATTATGGAAATCTGGTAACGTTGGCAGACTGATATAGGGTGAGTTGGCGTGCTAAAAAGGCACTAAACATGATATTTTTTTAGTGCAAAAATGAGCGTGACGTTCGAAGTGACGTGTTAAGGTGCTTAGTGTACCAGAAGTTCGGATACATTTGGATGAATTTAATCGATCTAGAATTCCCTTTTGTCCATATATGCATGGGGGGGGGGGGGTTCAGAAAAGCAATAACGGTGCTCATTTAGCATAGGGATTCACCCCTTCCTCAAAGCATAGAAAGCGGTGCCCCTGCTCGGAGGCTCATAATGGATCAGCCACGTGGCGAGGGATCCGTAACATAGGCATGCTGTTGGATTTACTCAGTGTTTGGCGTCCCGTCGTATTATCGTTCGTCTCATTAGCAAAGTGATGGCACGTAGATTCTGTCCAGTAATGAATTTGTCCGTAGAGTGGATATGGCAGTGAAGTCTGTAAAAGCGGTCTGAAGTCATCAGACCTGTGTGCTTGAGATGCGTACTGACTTGGTTGGGTAAGTGAACGGCGTCTGCGCTGTGTGCCATCAAAATTTTGTCATTTTTGTATTGAAACTGTCTCGTTTGGCGATGGGCCATGCATGCGGAGTTAAAAATCAAAGCTGAAGGAATTTAGTCCGACCGCGTTTGTCGTCTCTCCACGATCATTTCGTGCATGTTTACCATCAGTCGTTCGGAAGATTTAATTTTATTTGCCGGAGATGCGGACGGAGTCCGTTAATTAAAGAATAAATTCAGTTCCCGACAATTCCTTCAGAACTTGCGACGATCGTGGTCTGAGTGATTCATCAACGCGTTGCCGAATTTGAAAGCAAACAACATGAGCCAGCCAAACAACAGTAACAGTCTTGCTCACACGACTGAATGGGCTTTCGAACAGCTCTCAATGCGAGAGATTGCGTTAAATCGGTCCGGTGGTATAGAATGACCCGCAATGTTCGTCGCTTTTTACACCAAAATCTCGCTAAGAACTGTGCGTGTTGCAAATGAGGAGCTTCTTCTCGAATGAAAACGTCCGTCATCCCGGACCCAATTTTCTGTGAAGACCCATGCTAGCCATGAAATTAACTGACCGGTGATAAACAACTAATCTCAATGCAGAGTTTCCGACCAAATTTGCATAAAGAACTATTGCGCGTCGCAAACAAATTGTTACGCTACCAATCGCAAGGGCGGTGATTGCTTGTGCCCGCATTACGACCCGCATTTGTACGACCCGCATTACTCGTGGCGACTCGTGCAGGTCACGCACTTAACTGATGCGTATCAACAGGGTTTGAACACATGGCTTGTTTGCCTTTCAGTTTCACCATGTTCAATCCTCGTTTGCTTTCCTTGTTTCCTCCCTCATTTTTGCGACCAGCCCTGGTGTTTCAATAAAATATATATTTAGATCTCCAAGCACACGGCGCTTGTCTACAAGCATGAACGCCAAGCAGGGTCGGCGCTGAGCCGGCTACACGCGTGCCAGCGGTGTATCTCCCCTCCCCTCCCCTCCCCGGATCCTGCCCGCCCCGGCCTCATCAGCGCGTCCCTCTCCCTTCCCCTCCCCGGATTCTGCCCGCCCCGCCTTATCAGCGCATCCCTCTCCCTTCCCCTCCCGGATCCTGCCCTCCCCCGCCTCATCAGCGCGTCCCTCTCCCTTCCCCTCCCCGGATCCTGCCCGCCCCGGCCTCTTCAGCGCGTCCCTCTCCCTTCCCCTCCCCGGATCCTGCCCGCCCCCGCCTCATCAGCGCGTCCCTCTCCCTTCCCCGCCCCGGATCCTGCCCCCCCCCGCCTCATCAGCGCGTCCATCTCCCTTCCTCTCCCCGGATCCTGCCCGCCCCGCTTCATCAGCGCGTCTTAGGGTCTTTTACACGGATTACACAGCGAATTCGCACCTAACCCGGGTCAGGAGTGTAGCAGAGAGGAGAGAAGGGAGGGTAGGAAGACATGACTGGAGGGGGGGGGGGGGGGCTCGGGGGTTAGAAAGGCATGGCTGGGGGATAGGAAAATATGGGCGGGGAGGGGCAGACATGTAGAGCTGACTGCAACCCTTCAGCTGTTCGTCTCAGTTCCTCCACTCACATGTTGATGGCTTTGGTCGTCTAGCACAGAGTGCCAGCCAAGCCTCCGTGTACAGGGCGCCCAGGCCTGAGTGCCGCCCCTCCTCCCCCTCCCCCCCCCCCCCCCTCCCAATGTGACGCTCCCCCGGTTTTCCTGCTATTGCACGTCTTCGCAGGCTCCGGCCATGGGCTTCGTTTGTTCCCGCTCGTGCTCACTTGCAGTTTCCTCTCGCATACGTCATTTCACGGGCCAGGATAAGTTCAGGACCTTGGAAGGCGGGCGTGTTGGGATGCCCTGGGGCGACGACTGGCCTAAAGTTCTGCGTTACAGCGGTCCGCTCCGCACTGGTTGACTCGAGTTCGGACTTCGAGACCGCCTGCGAGGCGGGGGATTTTGCGAACCTTGTCTTACGCGAGTGTGCTTCTCTGGTTTGCTTGGCCCTTCTCGGCCGTCCTCCGGCGGTCCTCTGTCCCCATGCGGCGTGAAACCTGGGCGGGATCGGAAGGTGCTCGGCTTTGATGCCTCACCAATGGCTTCGCTCGTGGATTCTCGCTACATGATGGCCTTGTTTTGGGTGGTCGGTGCGCGTTCGTGACATGAGGTGCTGTTCCAAGGGCCCATCTGCTGTTCTTCCTCCCACGCGCTTTGCCCCTTAGCGATCCCGTCTGTGATCTGCTCTTGGCATTTTGGACGTGAGATAGGTGTCAAAGGGCGTTATGTTTGTATGTGTGTATGCATGTATGTATTCATGAAAATCTCCACAGTGGGCTCTTCCGACTTCCCAGTCAGCACATGTGCTTAGCGTAACGACGAACTTGTCAGTTAGTTCAGATGAAATTCAGATACGAACGGCCTTTGTTAAAGAAATGCACATAGGATGCACGATGCGCACAATTAGTCTGTAACCAATCCGACACACCTGAGTGAAAATGTCATTGATGCTAGGGCCATTATATCTGGCGTAAGACGATTCCACGTGCAAGTGGCGCGGCATACACATGATCGTGGGGTGAGTCCAGTTCGGGCACGCGGAGTCTGTGACAGAAGGCTTTCAGAGCCTCGCCTAGATCGGGCGGACGTCAGGGCGCAGGACAGCAAGGGCACGCAAACTCTGGCACCGTTGGCAACGTCACGCGAGGGTTGAGAGCTAGAAGGTCGCGTTGGGCCAAGGGTTCGTAAATTTCGAGACACAAAAATTAGAAACCGTATTTAATTGTTCTTACGCGCGGACTCTTCCCCCTAGTGATCTTGTTTTTGACATTGTCTCGGTACTTTTGACGTGAGATATTGTTCGGAAGGGCCCTAAGCTGCTCATCCGGCACGGCCCATGCGTGCAGACGCCTTGCGCGGCCTACTGGCCCATCCCTGGCTGTCTGACTTCCAGCGGTCCGCTGACCCGTCGGTGGCTGTCGGACTTCCAGGCAACGTCCCACTTGCCATGCAGAGTAGGAACCGGAGGGGGACGCAATAGGAAGTATAGTTACAAAAGCATATACGCATACGCAGTACTGGTCGAAACGTAAGCTCCGCCTTACAGCTGCGGGTAAGATAACACTCGGATTATGATCGTTAATAATAAATTACACCAGAGGACAGCAAAGGGTTCGTGACTGCGCGGTGCTGCTGGGTGTGCGGCTTCAGGAGCAGGCTGCATTAGTGGCTGGTCAGCAGCTACGGCTGCAGAGACGCAGATCGTCGAACGCAGGCTCGAGCTCGAACTGGAGCAGGCGGGCGCCCGCCGTTTATAGAAGAGGGATTGCAATGCTGAACCGTACCAATACCGATCCGCATAGACCACCATTCAATGGCGACCTGAATCGTGTCATCATGCTGAGACGTCACGGAATAGGTGTGTGTGTGTGTGTATGCGTGTGCGTGTGCGTGTGCGCGTGTGTGTGCTTCGCTCCGTTAGGGTGAGGCCCAAGTCTTCATTCTCAACGTTCTATTTATATTGACCGGTCAGGTGAAAAGATCCTTGTTGGATCCTTGATGAACACACATCTGAACCTGAACCCGAATCGGGAGCTGCACGGGTGGCATCTCTCCGACGCTGCCAGCTTGGTTGGTTTGGGTCGCATGTAGCCTCTGCGATGAATGCGCCGTTGGAACCCAATCACTGCGATTTTGTCGGTGTAGCTTCGTTATTGTGATACTATCCTCGGTTAGCTTTACGGTCAGGCTGCGAATAGTATTCGTTGCACAACATGCTTTGTAGAAGTCTGCTGTCTGCCTTCCCATTCCGTGCTCTTGTGCATTGAATCGGAATGAAAGGTACCAGCTAATTGTTCACTTTACCAGTTTTTATCAACGCCGAGCGTGACCGGTTCATTGCTAAAAATTATTGCTGATGCCGTTGCCCTGGCAAGGGTGGTTAATGACGGGGAGGCCTCCGCAGCGCCGAAAACGCCGTACAAAGCTGTGTGTTATCTGTGCGCTTCCGTTCTGGAGCGTGATTGAGCGGGCCGGCGTGGCCGGGGCGCGCTTCATCTGTGTGCCTGTCGTCCCCAGTTGCCGCGCTCAACATCCCGTGCGACCTCTGCGTGTGACGGAACTGGTCCGGCGACTCTCACCAGTCCGACCGTCTCTGCTGCCGTCCCTGCTGGCGGCGTTAGCTCCACCACCGTCGCCGTTGGTGGGGCCAGCCCCACCTTCATCTCATCTGTCGGCGCCAGCTCTACCACCTTCACCGCGAGTGGGGCCAGCTCCACCTTCCTCTCATCTGTCGGCGCCAGCTTTACCACCGTCGCCGCTGGTGGGGCCAGCTCCACCTCCATCTCATCTGTCGGCGCGAGCTCTACCACCGTCGCCGCTGGTGGGGCCAGCTCCACCCCCATCTCATCTGTCGGCGCCAGCTCTACCACCGTCGCCGCTGGTAGGGCCAGCTCTGCCTCTATCTCATCTGTCGGGACCAGCTCTACCTCCGTCGCCGCTGGTGGGGCCAACCCTATCTCCATCTCATCTGTCGGGTCCAGCTCTACTTCTGTACCCGCCGGCGGAGCCATATCCACTTCCGTCCCCGCCGGTGGGGCCAGCTCTACTTCCGTCCCCGCCGGTGGGGCCTGCTCTACTTCCGACTCCTCTGTTGAGGCCATCTCCACTTCCGTCAACTCCGTCGGGGCCAGCTCCGCTTCCGTCCCCGCCGGTGGGGCCAGCTCTACTTCCGTCTCCTCTGTTGAGGCCATCTCCACTTCCGTCAACTCCGTCGGGGCCAGCTTCGCTTCCGTTCCCGCCGGTGGGACCATCTCCACTTCCGCCCCCTCTGTCGGGGCCAGCTCCACTTCCGCCCCCTCTGTCGGGGTCATCTCCACTTCCGCCCCCTCTGTCGGGGCCAGCTCCACTTCCGCCCCCGCTGTCGGGGCCAGCTCCACTTCCGCTCCCGCTGTCGGGGCCAGCTCCACTTCCGTCTCCTCCGTCGGGGCCAGCTCCACTTCCGTCCCCTCTGGCGAGGCCATCTCTGCTGTTGTGCACGACGTCCAGACCGCCTCGTCTGCCGCTGCCGACCGGAGCACCCGTGCCGCTGCGTCTGCCGACAGGGGCGCTGTGGCGTCTCTGGTCGGCGGCCGGGTGAGCCCTGGTGCCGTCATAGCCGAGAGTCGGGTGCGCCTGACCGGCCCGACCGTGTCCCCTGCCGCCCGGCCTGACGCGGCGCCGACGGCCGGCGGCGGGCCTGCAGCTGCCCCCAGGGCGCCGTCCGAGACGGATGCTAGCGGTGCCGGCTCGGCTTCGGGACTGGACCCGGCTGGGGGCGGGCCTTCCAACGCAGTCGGCAGGGGTGAGGCCCTGACAGCAACGGCTTCAGCCCACGGCCGACCCCGCCGCGCAGGCGTCGAGCAGTACTACGGCGTTGTCAACCGGTTCTACCGGGAGGAGGTACGCGCCTCGGCCACCTCTGCTGTCGTCAGGGCAAACGACCGGCGGCCCAGTGCGGCGGCCAGTGAGGACGCCGAGGTGGACGGCGACCGGTCCCCGGACTGTGGCGTGGGCTCCCCGCCGGACCTTGGTGAGACTGCAGCCCAGACTGCGTCGGACTGCAGCCCAGACCGGCCGCCGTGGCGCGGCCGCGGCGACAGTCCGGTGCCCGAGCGGCTGCTGGCTGTGCTCCGGCGGCCGGCCTTCGTGCTGCTCCAGCCAGTGGACGACGTGATCGGCGACCCGAACGAGCCAGTGGTGCGCGCCGCCGCCTACATCGTGCACGGCGACGAGGTGGTGGGCAGGCGGGTCTGCGCTGACCGGGCCCAGCTCGCGCCGGCAGCCGAGACGGAGCTGAGTGCTCTGGGCGATGAACCCCGCGGACCTGCCGGATTGTCTCCGAAAGGTCAACCTCAGCAGAAAAGGGTTAAACAGAGCGAGACGGCGCAGAAGGCGACGGGCAAGCGAAAAGCAGCTACAGGTAACGCTGACTGTCAAGCGAAACAATCGAGAGGGCTCCGCACCGATCGGGGGAGGAGGGCTGTGCAGACGTCGCTGGCCCAGTACCTGGAGCCGAGTGGGAGTGGTGCGGCCGCGGCCTACCCGGGGTCGGAAGCGGGCCAATCCGTGACGGTGCCTGATGGCGGGGATCATCCGCTGGCCTCCGCCGCCGCCGACATTGACAATGGTTCGGAGGGGGAGACGACGGCTGGGAACAGGAAGCGTCGCGAGGGTCGAGACCGTCTGGTTTCGTCCGACAAAGACCCGGGGGACGAACCAGACCGCAGCAATGCTGAGGGGATGGTGATGGTACGCCGCCGCCGCCGCCGCCACTGCCCACTGTCGTCCGATAGTGAGCGCTCCGCGCACGAGAGTGGTGACGACGCCGCGACAGCGCGTAGACCGACCCGCCGTCGCCGGAGCCCGCCCTCGTCGGACGCTGATTCCCAGAACAGCGAGCGGGAGGTCGTGGCGACGGGGCGGAGGCTCACTCGCTGCCGGCGGCGGGCCGCTCGGTTGGGCGGCAACTCCCGGGACAGCGAGATGGACGCCGTGTCAAGGGCGGCGCGCAGTCGGCGCCGCGCGCGCGTCTTCTACGCCGAACCGCGCTCGGATGCCGAGGAGCCGGCCTCGCCCAGCTCGCCCGAGTACCAGCCGGAGTCGGTCGACTGGGGCGACGACGACCGCCGCTCATCTGCTGCCGACAACGGGCTGGCGTCGGACGCCGGCTCGGAGGCGTCGGCGACCGAGGGTGCGGCGCCGGACGGCGACCGGTCGGCGCCGGACGACGACCGGTCGGTGCCGGACGGCCGGCCGCCCGAGCTGCAGCCGTGGTTGCAGCCGCGCGTCGTGCTGCCGCGCGCCCAGCTGCGGCGCGTCGACGGCCTCGACGTGCAAGAGATCCTGGGCATCGCTGCGCCCACGCAGGCGGTCCGTCCGTTCCGTAGCGATGAGCTGGTGGGCGTGCCGGTGGGCGCGGCGCCGTCGGCGGCCGACTGGGACGCCGTCATGTCGCAGTGGGTGGCGCTGGCCCGGCAGCACCGCGCCCGCCTCTGCGAGGTGAAGCGGCGCGCTCACCAGGTGCGCTACCTTCGCACGCGGCTGCGGCAGGCGTTGAAGGCGCGCGGACTGCTTCCGGCGCAGGCGGTGCCAGCAAGGGAGGCGGAGACAGTGCCAGTGGTGGGGATGGCGCGAGCAAGGGAGGCGGAGACGGGGACGGAGACGGAGGCGGAGGCGGAGACGGCGACGGCGACGGCGACGGCGACGGCGACGGCGACGGCGACGGCGCCAGCGCCAGCGCCAGCGCCAGCGCCAGCGCCAGCGGGGGAGGTGGAGACGACGCCAGCGCCATCGAGGGAGATGGAGACGGCGCCAGCGCCAGCGGGGGAGGTGGAGACGGTGACTGTAGGGGCAGCCGGGCGAGTCGGCGACATCTAGGCAGGCGCTGGCGGCGGCGTTGGCGGCAGGATGAGGACTTGAGCGAGTGACAGACGAAGCATCTGGTGTGGCGTTACTTAAGGCACGGCTAGTGTCGGTCACTACAGGCCGGTGTGACTCGGCGCGAGCCATCGTGCTAAGCCTAATTGAGGCTTTGTGTTCTCTTCTGGTGACCGCGCGTCCCGGATTTGACCGATCTTGTGATCCAGAGCGGTCGTAGGGGCCGTTTTCCGCCGCACCGATCTGTCGCCGATGTGAAGTGGCAGAGCATGCGTGCTCCGATTGGCGCTTATGATTTTAGAATGTTGTGATAAGCCGCAGAGGACTGCGAACAGTAGCCATGATATGTATGACACGCTAGTTGACTGGCGTTAGCGTGCGCCAGGAGCGGTCGGGTCTGTGGCATTCGTGTGTCAGGAAAGTTAGCATGGTTCAAACACCCGACGCCTGCGCTTAGTACTTAGCATGCGTTCCGACATATGTGTTCGTTGCAGCGACATCCTCACATTTCATTATGCTCCACCGACTGAGAAGCGTATCGCTGGCGAACATCGTCTCTAAATATGATCTGTTTTGGCTGAATGTGTTTGCCAAAGTATAGGTGTGCGTTGGCTGTAAGACTCGTACTGCGGTGATGTCCAAACCGACTGGGCCAAACAAACGACAGACACTGTTGTGAGTGTGGTATGCCAGACGTATTCAGACATTCCCGCGTTGCTGTCCTGCCAAAAGGCTGTGAAACTATGCGTTGTAAGAAATGCCAAGCGGAATAAAAGTGACCTTTCGTTTTAACATGACGTCGGTATTACTGCCTCTGCACGGATTTGTAACTGAAAAGCGTTTTAACATGACGTTGGGGTTTCTGTCTCCGCACGGAATTGTAAGCATTTAAAACTTGTCGCCGACGAAACGGTGACCCATGATATCAGTGAGGATGGCCTGTTGGGTGAAACATACTAAACCGTAACGCTTCCGTTTGTAACGTCTTCCTCTGTTTCTGCCAGTTTGTGTAGCTCGTATTTTGTTCAGGTCACCACCGCAGCTCGGAGCACTGGGCATCTGTTTAACTCCGCTTGTTCTTTTCAAAGTCCATAAACGGCGGAGAAATGTCCAGTTGTGTTCTTGACGCCGCTAAGCGAGAGGTACACGTTGCACGGTATAGTCCAGGGTGAGTGTCAGTTTCGGGTCTCAGTCGAGTTAGTCCCAGTCGGTTGAGTGAGTCTCAGTTGTGTGAGTCAGTCGAGTAAGTCCCAGTTGCGTGAGTCAGTCGGGCGAGTTTCGGTCGAGTGTTGCAGTCGGCCGAGTGAGGCTCAGTCGGCCGAGTGAGCCTCAGTTGGTCGAGTGCGCCTCAGTCGGTCGAGTGCGCCTCAGTCGGTCGAGTGAGCCTTGGTCGGTCGAGTGAGCCTCGGTCGGCCGAGTGAGCCTCGGTCGGCCGAGTGAGCCTCGGTCGGCCGAGTGAGCCTCAGTCGGTTAAGTGAGCCTCGGTCGGTCGAGTGAGCCTCAGTCGGTTGAGTGAGCCTCAGTCGGTCTAGTGAGCCTCGGTCGGTTGAGTGAGCCTCAGTCGGTCGAGTGAGCCTCGGTCGGTCGAGTGAGCCTCAGTTGGTCGAATGCGCCTCAGTCGGTCGAGTGAGCCTCGGTCGGTCGAGTGCGCCTCAGTCGGCCGCGTGAGCCTCGGTCGGTCGAGTGAGCCTCAGTCGGTCGAGTCTCAGTTGCGTGAGTCAGTCGAGCGAGTCTCAGTCGAATAGGTTTCAGTCGATCGAGTGAGTCTCAGTCAGACGAGTGAGTCTTAGCGGTCAGTCGCTTGAGTTTCAGTCAGTCGGGTGGATCTCAGTGTCGTCCAACTCCACACTAAGTGCGTCAGCTGATGTATATCGACATGTGACTTCTGGAAAGGCGCTGACACGGTGCGCGCCATTAACGTACAATGTCGATAGCTAGAGGGTTGGCGGGAGAGCTGCAGGTTACAAACAGCCGGGAAGTCAAATAGCCGCTGAGACGAAAGGTAGCAGCCGGTGCAAGTAAGCGGAAAAGAACATCGTGACAACTCGCCGCTACGTCCCCAGCGTGGCGGTGTAAAACACTGGGCCCCAGGCGCCAGCACACGCGGCGTTGTGAGACACTGAGCACCAGACACCAGCACACGCGGCGTTGTGAAACACTGAGCACCAGACGCCAGTACGCGGCCCCGGCGCATCAGCTGCTTGATGCCATTTTTCAATAACCCGCCCTGCGCTAAGTGGCTTACATCAACGGTATGTCACAATTCGTCGACACGATGAACGCATCCGTTCTGGATGTAAGTGAGTAATGGTAATATCAGATCAAGCTGAGAAGGCCTGCCAGGAGCGGATCCAGGATTTCGTCAGGGGGGGGGGGGGGGGCACGCAGCTTTGTGGGGCCCCTTCAGTTTGGGCCCCCCAAAAATGTCGAATCCTGTAATTTGGGGCTGAGTGTTTCGGAACAACAGGGAAAATTAAGTCGAGTTGGCTGCTAACAACCATCGAAACCGAGCACGGGCTTGATTCGTTCCTTATTATTTACGGTTAGCCGGGTTGGCGGAGTAATCAGCTGATGGCTGATGACTAATGCATAATTTTTCCTTCGTTATAAAAGAAGTGCAAAATAGCCTGGCACTCAAAACATGCTAAGAACGCGATGTACTAGTATGATAAGTGTCACACACTCAAAAGCGAATGGAATTGACAGATGTGATGCCGGCGGCACGTAAAATTGAGTTCGACAATTACGTGTAAAAATTAATTAGCGCCTATCTGACTGCTGCTGTAAGGTGAAGGCGCTAAGGCCAATAGGGACGGAACCTGAGCCGTTATGGGTGCCACAGGAGGCCAATAAAGTGGCTCCCGCCAACAAGTGTAGGGCCATTAGAGCAAGTAAAAAGAACCCAAGAGTAACGTGGTGGGTCCTAAACGATCGGTAGTGACCCGAAAGGCTGGCATGTGAGGCCCCGGCCAGAGCGCAGTACCCGCTGAGCAAAGGAAATTATCAAAGATCATGAGTGTAGCGCGTAACCGAATACGCGTCCGTACTGCGCCGTTGTCAACGCGTCAGCGGGACACTCGGCTCGCTAACGAGAACAATGCACTTAGACTGACTCGTTCGACGCAGATGCATTGTCTTGTTTACTTCGTATGCTAGTGATTAGATACGCCATATGTGGTTACCCGTAGCCGTAGTTGCTTTAAGCAAGGGTTGCGACATAGTGCGCCTCTGCTGCTGCTTAACGTGGGCTCACACGCGCATTAGAATTGCACAACGTCGAGGGCTCCAGAACGCCCCATCCCCAGTGTTTGGAGGCCGCGCGCGGGCGCCGCCCAGCGGCCCCGCCGTTTATAACCTGACACATTCTGCGTAGCGTCAGACGAGCAGTGACGGTCAGAGAGAGGCGGACGTGACCCAACGACCAGTGTCGCGACGCTGCACTTCGCGAACGGACCTCGACCGAATATAGTTACCTTTTCACGCCCGTTCTCTGATGGGCGTTGGTGAGAAGAAGGACGCTACCAACAAGAACGAAGCGTTACATGAGTTAGTACCCTTGTGCGACCAAGAGAGTACGAGCAGGTTAGCAGAAAGAGCATCGATAGGAGTGAGGAGTCCTCCGCAAATGAGATCAAAGGGGAAGAGCCCTTGATCAAAATAAGAGCCCCAGGAACAGCACAAGGCCCTCCAAGCAAGTGGAGAGAACCCGAGACTAGTATGAAGGGCCCATGAGCAGCGGAGCGTGCCCAGGCATCTGGGGCCCCGGAAAAAGTATATAGAGCCTTTCGGGCGAATGGGAAGAATCCGTGGAGGAAAACCTGCATCGGTCAAGAGTGCCCAGGCGTAGAAGCAGATAGCGTCCCAACAGCAGCGCTAGGCCCTGCAAGAAAATGCAAAAAGTTCAAGAGCAGCGTGGAGGCCCAAGATGCAGGGCCCCCGAACAGTCCAGCGTGGCCGAGGAGGCGAGCAGATGGGCTCCCATCAAGTGCGTGGGGCCCTCCATTCAGGTAGGAAGTACCCAGGACACAATGTGGAGAGCCCCCGAACAATCGAGTGTGGTAAGGAAGGTTACAGATGGGCCTCCGGCGAGAGCGAAGGGCCTTCCGTTCAAATATTAAAATACCCACCGCATGACGTAGAGGGCCCCGAGTGATCGAGTGCGCCAGAGCAAGTTAGCAGATAGGGTCCCCGAAAAGAGCGGAGGGCCCTCCATTGAACTGGAAAACCCGCCCCCGCGCAGCGTTCACGAAACCAGATTGAACTGCATAACATATATACACACGAAGCATGCATTCTGGTGTGTTTTCTAAAACGAGAAAGGCAGCACATGAATGTCATGTATGCGTTAAGACTGCACATAGGTGTATACGGCATAGGTACTACACATACGGCGTACCTGTATACGGTAGATGGCACAGGTGCTACACACATAGTAGGTGACATGCCCGGCACACACAACCACGCAACTACACGGCATAGGTGCTGCACGCCGTCCTAGATCGGGGCTTTCTAGGGATATTAGGTGTCAGGCCGTTCTGTCAACAAGCTGACGTGAAACTTTGTGGTCCGTCACATTGGTGTAGGAGGCTTGTGACTGATTGCGTTATGGTTATACTGGTATAGACCTCGCTCGTACCAGTATT